CGCAGCTGGGGATGTGTGGCTGGGTGCCCGGACATGGCACCTTCGCCTGACATCCCTCTGGTATTAATCGGGGATGAGGGAAGCGGAGTGAGTGCTGGTTCCGCACGTGGCTCCTCTGGGCTGCACCGAGGGCAGGGGCGAGCCCCCCGCCACCGAGCTCCTCACTCGGTTGAGACCCCCAGAGCCAGGTGGGATGGATATGTAGTTCCTCAGGGGGTTAGGAGAGGGAAGCAGAGCCAAAGCACCTTTCCTTGACAGGATGGCTGCACAGAAAGGAGCGTTTCTTGGGGCAGGGCCCTTCTGGGTCAGCGGGGTGTCAGGGAAATAACACATTTTCCTTTTCTGCCCATTGCTAACATTTTTTTCTCTGTTCTTTCTGCTTCCTGGTAAGACGGGCCAATCAAGCTCTTCTGTAGGTTGCTTTCTGCTAAGTATTCACCCCCTCCTCGTGTTTCCCCCAGTGCTGTGCCCCTGTGTGTGTGCCTGCGGACTCGCGTGGGCGATGGGGAGGCAGTGGGGAGGGGGGAGGCTGGTGCAGGGGCTTCCCAGCTGGAACCAGAGCACGGGGAGCTTTGAGGATGCTGCCAACCATCAGGATTTGGCACCCTGATTCAGCAAAGCACTTGAGCAGTAATTAAGACGTTGCAGTTTCCTTTGAGCCACTGTCAAGCCACGATCTCGGCATTGCTCATGCCGAGGATAGGCTTTTCCCAACAAGGCCAAGCGCTGGGGTCTGGTCCCCAGCCGTGAGCACATCCCCACGGTGCTGCTGGGATGTCACCTTCCTAGGGCTCAGTAACACAGGAGGAAGGGAAATTGTGAGATTCTGATTAGCTACCTTCCTTTCCTGTCCTGAAATAACCCAGGAGCAGTTAATTATCTATTCTCATGTATGCACAAGTGGAAAATGTTATTTTTATGGGTGTTTCAGATGGAAAAAGCTATTTATTTTTTTATATTAGGAATTATTTTGAAGTAATCACATGAATTAAGCAGAGAGTAAAACTGTTCTGTTTGGATGAGTAGAAGTTGGTCACATGGGTACCTGTCTTCCAGCTGGATAAATACAATTTTCAAAATACACAGCTGAATTGTAGAATCACAGACTGGTTTGGGTGGGAAGGGACCTTAATGCCCACCCAGTCCCACCCCCTGCCATGGGCAGGGACACCTTCCATAGCCCAGGGTGCTCCAAGCCTCATCCAGCCTGGCCTTGGACACTCCCAGGGATGGGGCATCCACAGCTTCTCTGGGCAACCTGTCCCAGTGCCTCCCCACCCTCTGTGGGAAGAATTCCTTCCTGATGTCCCATCTCCATCTCCCTCTTTCCGTTTAAACCCGTTACCCCTTGTCCTGTCACTCCTGTGTGTGTTCCCTGTTGCCCGCTTACGGTTCTTTGTTTCGAGCTAACGCTCTGGCCAGTCATTTCTTCTTTGGTATGTCTCTGCAAAATGAGCACGAGCGTGAGAGGGACGTGGGCACGCAGCTCCATTCTTGGTTTACGACTGGAATGGCAACGCGAGAGAAGCGTTTTGGATGAGGACCCCCCCACATGCCACCCACCGCCACTGCGGCCCGATGGCTGGCTCTGTTTTCCAGCGCTGGAGAGGAAGGCCCAGGGTTTCTGTTCCACACTGGCAGCTGGGAAAGAAACCATTTGCTTTTCTAAGTAATTGGGGAGCAAAGCATCAGTTTTAACGAACATCCTGATTTTGTAGTGGCTAATGGCTTCGTGTTTACATCGAGCTACACAGAAGTGAGAACTGAATTACTGGAATTATTCCTGTACATTCCAGACTTGTTAGGAATAGGAAAGTGTTGTTTTCATTGCTCCAACGTTGCTTTTTTGTTGTTCAGAGATTAAGGAGAATAGTCAGTCTTCATTTTCGTAGCTTCTCTGTGCAGGATACTAAATCCTTTACTGGTTCTGCACGGTGCAAGGAGAATAAACCTGTTGTTTCCACCCCGTTACAGCTCATGTGTGCTGCAGCCCACCCCCTTTTGCTTTAAAATCCAAACCTAGTGAGAAGCAGCGCTGCCCCGTTGCAGCAGGCGGTGGGAGGGGCCGTTCCCTTTGCCAAATCCTTGGGAAAGGGCCTTTTTTTCTCCTTCTTGTCACCTATTCTGCGTCAAGTTTTGCAACACGGATCAGCCGTGCATCAGCTCGCACCCAGGTGGGCTCTGCAGCCAGCAGGACAGGGTTAAATCCGACCACTATCTCCATCTGTAGCATTTAAAAATAGCCTGGGCTTTTAAATCAATCCAGACAGCAAGCAGTAATAAACATTTCCTTTAGGGACGTTGTCACAGCCTCTGGCGTTCAGTGCGGTTCTGCAGGGCCTGAAGCTGCTGAGGGGCTGGATAAAAGCCCCTCAGCCTGGTGTGCAGAAAGATCTTTCCAGGTTTTCCAGTGAGATAATTGAGCTCTGGGCAGTTCTTCCTCCAGTGCCGAAATGCCGACTCAGAAGCCGCAGTCTGGGTGAGGCGGGGTGTTTTTCAGCGGTTGGGGAATTTGTTGTTTCCTCTCCTCTGCTGTCTTTAGCTGTGAAAATCAAGAAGCCCATCAAGACCAAGTTCCGAATGCCGGTGTTCAACTGGGTCGCCCTCAAGCCCAACCAGATCAATGGGACGGTCTTCAACGAGATAGATGACGAAAGGATCCTGGAGGTATGAGTGCTGCTGGCTGCCTTCTGCGCCCCCTTTCCACACGTAACACAAGGGAACAGCCGTCTTTGCAGTGATAGGGTGCAGGGATTATTTGGCAAACAGCTTATCCAGTGGCCCCTGGTACCCAGTATGTCAGCGTGAGCTCCTCGCTGGAGAATTAGGGGTGGTAGTGTCATGGAACCATGGAAGGTTTGGGTTGGGAGGGACCTTAAAGCCCCCCCAGTGCCACCCCCTGCCATGGGCAGGGACACCTTCCATAGCCCAGGGTGCTCCAAGCCTCATCCAGCCTGGCCTTGGACACTCCCAGGGATGGGGCATCCACAGCTTCTCTGGGCAACCTGTCCCAGTGCTCCCACCCTCTGTGGGAAGAATTCCTTCCTGATGTCCCATCTCAATCTCCTTCTTTCCATTTAAACCTGTTACCCCTTGTGCTGTCACTACAGGCCCTGCTAAAGTCTGTCCCCACGTCCTGGCATTCCCCTAAACGCAGTCTGAGAGGAACGGACGTATGGCTCCTGTGACAGTGCCCTACTTACTCAGGATATGGAGTTCTTAGTCTTCTCAGTTAGTTTCTCCTACTTCCAGACCGGAATGTATGTGGTGGTGGCAGTGGGGAGGTGGAGAAGGGTTTAGAGAAAACAGGGAGAAGCTCTTTGCATCCCAGACTCTGCGACACTCGGGTCGGGGCACTTGCTAGGGTTATCTCAATTAGACAGATCATCCGAGGTGAGGAAGGTGTGTTTTTCCCAGCCTAACGTTGTGTAGGAGTTAGGCCTGGGCTGGTGGCTGCCTGCCAGGGAATAGTGCTTGTGGCTGCTGGGGCCAGGTTTCCTGATCGCTAACTCGGGAGCGTGTTCCTGCAGCCCCTGGATGCAGTTCTCGGCTGTAGTCACCCCGTCGCAGGGTCTGGGCCGCACCCCAGGCAGCGCGGGGTTTAGTGTTTGCTGACGGGGAGGGCTAAATCGTTGTCTTCCCTTTTTAGGATTTGAATGTGGATGAATTTGAGGAAATATTCAAAACGAAAGCCCAAGGTCCAGCCATTGATCTCACCTCGAGCAAGCAAAAGATAACTCAGAAAGGGCCAAACAAAGTCACGTTACTGGATGCCAACAGGGCCAAAAATCTTGCCATTACTTTAAGGAAAGCTGGAAAGACGGCGGATGAAATATGCAAAGCTATCCACGTGTAAGTAAGACACTTGTCAGCGAGGAAGTGGTGTTCAAGATTTGCTGTGATTTGTGGTAAGCGGGATGGTTTTAAATTGGTGGGTGATGTGTTTTTGCATCTGGAAAAAATCCAGGAGTTAGGATGGAACCATTCTGAATTCCCAGAAATCAGTTTCCCTTGAACTAGAATAAAAGAAGTGTGGTTTTACGTTGCTGTATCACTATTTAGGCTTAACGAATTCACACTTCTGTTATTAGAGAAGCACACAGCCGGCTCATGGCCAGCTCCTCGCCCCCAGCACCCCAAGTCCTTCTCCTCAGGGCTGTTCCCAATCCATTCCCCACCCAGCCTGTCCCCGTGCTGGGACTGCCCTGACCCTGGTGCATGACCTTGCCCTTGGCCTGGTTGAATCTTCTCTGACAAAAATGAGGTGAGGCCGTGAGGGAATGACCACGTCTTTGGAAACAGGAAGAGGGTGCAGCACCATTCACATCAGCACAAAACCCATGTCCACATCCCCATGCGCAGGACCCTGCCCCAGCCAGAGCAGGAGTAACTTCAGAGCATCGTCATAGTTACTCGTTGCATTACTGACTCCAGCTGGTGTCGCCGGGCAGCGCAGGAAGCAGAGATCGTGCCTGTGGCATCTTCCTTGCTGCTTTTCCCTCCTTTGGTGTACAGCCTTGTCCTAACGCCGCTTCTTCCCTTCCGTTACCACACAGGTTTGACCTGAAAACGTTGCCTGTGGATTTTGTTGAATGCCTCATGCGGTTCCTGCCCACCGAGAACGAAGTGAAAGTGCTGCGGCTCTACGAGCGGGAAAGGAAACCCATCGAGAACCTGTCCGACGAGGACCGGTTCATGATGCAGTTCAGCAAGATTGAGAGGCTGATGCAGAAGATGACCATCATGGCCTTCATAGGCAACTTTGCGGAGAGCATCCAGATGCTGACGCCGGTGAGGGAGGAACAGCCCCCGGGACGTTAGCTGTGCGGGGATCGGGGCTTCCCGGGGCTCAGCCTCCACCTAGGCGCTGTGCTCTGCCGCGGGGGTCGGCTCCCGGGGAGTGTTGCTGCCTGAAAAAGTGGTTTTCTAGCTGTATTTTCATGTATTCGTGCCTCCAGTATCCCAGGTGCTGTTGGTATCATGGAATCACAGAATGGTT